TTTTAAGAACAAGAATTTAAAAAAAAAAAATTCCAGAAAATTCTGGGATTTTCACAGCTTGCTTTGCTGACATAGTAGAAAAATCTAGACAATCTTTTGATATTATCATCACCGCCATACTAGAAGATTCAGCACCTCCATTAACGCGCGCGTATATATAGCTGTGTGTGTATGTATGTATGCATGTATGTATATGTATATGTATATGTATATGTATATGTGTGTATGTGTAGAAATCCCGTGAATTAATGTTTGAAATATGAGATTGATTCTATATAATTGTACAATCTTATTTAGATTAGGAATTTTTTTCCCCATGTTTAAATAGTTGCCTTATTTAGTTCTTATTTGTATTTTACTAGTTGATGCACGTGTTTGAATTTAGTTGGCTATTTAATAGTGTGAAGTGATTGTTAGATATCCAAATTGCATTAGATTTATAGTTATATAGTATATAGTATTCTAATAGAATAAGACAAAATGAAAACAAATTTATTGCTTGGTAACTAAAGATGAAACTTAAAGATGAAAAATATGCAATTTGTGTAAGCGCCCAATTTTCATTTGTGGGATAGACCTTTTATACGAAAAACATTGGATCCCATGTAGGACCAAGCTCATTACAAAATGGATAAAAAAATTTCCTACCACACACCTTGTGAGTGATCGGTGGCAGTATTATGAAGACAAATATGGGAGACAACACACATCCAGGAATGTTCACGCCCATAAAAATCAATTGAGATTTTATTTCTTCCATCGTGTTGAGAATAGAGTGAAATGGGAAAGTGGAATGGTCTTCAACATAATAAAACTTTAGAAAATCACAAATCCAACACGTTAAAATGCACAAGCCTCATTGCACTGGTTTGCATACTCAAAATAAAAACAGGAAGACATACACAAGCGCATAACATTTATATTTTACTGAGAATGAGTATCTGTAATAGAGATAAGAAAACTACCATAATAAATATTCAAAATTATAGAGCCACAAGAACGAACTACAA